AGCTAATGACACATGGGACATTACTTACTTGCCTGGGGAGATTAAGCCAATTGGCTCCAAATGGGTGTACAAAACAAAGTACAAGTCAGATGGAGCCTTAGAAAGGTTTAAGGCAAGGGTAGTTGCTAAAGGGTATACTCAAATATATGGGATTGATTATTGTGATACCTACTCACCAGTGGCTAAGATCACTTCAGTTAAAATGTTACTAGCTGTTGCTTCTGCTCAGAAATGGTATTTACACCAAATGGACGTTAACAATGCATTTCTGAATGGAGAGCTTGATGAAGTGGTCTATATGGAATTGCCACCTGGTTTGAGGGATCTACCTGAGTACAAAGGGAAGGTTTGCAGACTCAAGAAGTCTCTTTATGGACTGAAACAAGCCAGTCGAATGTGGTATGCAAAGTTAACTGAGTCTTTACTCAGTAATGGTTTCAAACAGTCCCTTTCAGACTATTCCATCTTCCTTTCCACTGTTCAGGGGCATCTGGTTGTTTTAATTGTTTATGTTGATGATATAGTGGTTGGAAGTGCTAGCCTTGATGCAGTGAAGGAAGTTAAAAGGATGTTAATGTCATTGTTTAAGATGAAAGATCTTGGAGAGTTACAGTACTTCTTTGGCCTGGAAGTTAGCAGAACAGATAAGGGAATCATGTTTGCCAAAGAAAATACTGCATTGAACTTCTTAAAGAAGCTAGTTTTGATGAGTGCAAGCCAGCAAAGACCCCATCAAGTGTCAACAAGTGCTATCTGCATTAGATGGGGAACCTTACCTTGACATTCCCTTATTCAAACATCTCTTTGGACAACTTCAGTACCTGAACAGCACCAGACCTGACATAACCTTTTGTTGTGCAACAGTTGTGTCAATTTCAAGATGCTCCAACAACTGTGCACGACAAGGCATTACATAGGGTATTCAGGTACCTTAAGAACTCACTAGGCCAAGGTTTATTTTACCCCAGTGATTGTTCTATGCAGCTAACTGGGTTTAGTGACTCAGAGCACTGTATCTAAATCATCCTCTGAGGCAGAATACAGAGCTCTAGCCCACCTTAGTTGTGAAGTTCAATGGCTAGTTAGATTACTTGCTGATTTTGGAATTGATCACCCTTCTCCTGTTATGGTGTTCTATGATAACCAGTCTGCAATTCATATTGCAAGAAACCATGTGTTTCATGAACGGACAAAACACATTGAAGTGGATTGTCACGTTATCAGGGAGAGATTGACCAGTGGGTTGATCAGTTTACATCATTTGTCTACTGTTCATCAGCTTGCAGATTTATTTACCAGAAGCTTGGGCATAGATCGTTTTAACCTTCTGTTGTCCAAGCTGGGAGTTTCTGGAAGACCCTCGCCAGCTTGTGGGGGGGGGGGGTATTGGAATGATGATTTGAATCACCAATAGCAGCAGCTCGGACTTCATTCTATTACCCTGCATCAAGATGCTGCAAGGAAGAAGGCAAGCCTCCCACGAAGTGCAGACCAAGTCCAAGTCGGAACGACGCCGTTCTTCTCCTATCCAGAAACAAGGATCGAAGTGAAACGTTGCCGTTCCGTTGCAAGAAGAAGTGTGGAATTCCAAGCCGCTGCCGTTTCAATTAATCGCTGTTAGGAGTTAGTTAGCCAGCTATACAGTTTTCATTCGTTAGTTTGAGTTGTTAGTTTTTACTGTAAATTAGCCGTTGCTAATCTAATTTACCTACTCTGTACAGCCTTGTATATAAATGGAAATGCAAACCAAGGAGCTCTCTGTTGAGAATCCTTCCACAAAAACCCTATCTACTCATTTTCTTCTCACCTCTTGACCCCATTTTTAACGAGGAACTCACACTTCATTGAGTGCTCCATGTCCCGGTCTTTATAGTGTAAATTGTTGTCTATAAGCCAATTAATGCAAGATCATAATATCGCCTTACTATTATTGGTTGATTTCTGTGTCATATAGGACTTACCCTCCAGGATTGTGATTGGGTTGGGACTCCTCCATAATGGACATTAGTATCTGCAGCGTAATACTGGCGTCTTCCAGAGGTCACGGATTGAGATTTTTGCTGCTGCAAGAAACTTGATGGAGCTTCGGCATGGACAGCTTGGACATCCCTCCTTTGATAAATTTAGTGTTGTAAAGTCTTGTTAAGATTTTCTTACACTGGTTGGATGAATGACTGAGCCTGCAGGAATTCACTATTTTGGGTTTAAGTTGAAGTTGGAATGAATAATTGCATCAATAATTTTGTGAAAACAAAGCATCATGCTCTCTGTGTGTTTGGTAAATAGTGGTGCATTGCATTCTGAAGCTTGGTTGCTACTGTAGGTTCTTTGCTAAGCTGCAACTGTTTTTTTTTTTTTTTTTGGGTAGAAACAACTGTTTTGTCTTTGTTCCGACTGTTGGCTTGGCTGTAATTGCGCGGTTGCAAGGGCAATATCTGTAAGATTAGTCGAACTAGTTTCTGGGGAGATATATTTCAGCTCCAACCTTCGTATTTCACCCTTGCATGTAATAAATATCTTTGTCGCAGTAATCACCTTGTTTTTTTTAATTCTTTAATCAAATAGGAGTTGTTGATACTTATAAGAGCACAACCGCAATCTCTCCTCCTCCAAAAAGAGAAATCCCAGAGCCGTTTCGTTGAATGAAAGCAGCAGTGTTTTTTGGAGCTTGAGTCAAAATCCCTCTAGCCTTATCTGGGTTCTGAAGGGGGTTTTGAGAAAGTTGGTGTTTCTTTGCGCTTTTGTTTGATTTTTTTAATCATTATTTATTATCTTATTAATTAGATTAGATGAAGAAAATAATAAAATAGTTTGTAATTTGAATTTTTTTGGTTTGGTTTAGTGCTGATATGGCAGCGAGGTGGATCGTTGACTAACGGTCAATAATGTTGACCGTCAAAATTGACGGTCAAATCACGCGTCGGGCCAATTGAGTCTGATGTATAGTTGAGGCCAGAATGACGTTATCTGAAACCACTAGCCAAAGTTGATTATATAGGTATAGTCATACCAAAATAAGATATTAACTCTTAATCAAATCTATCTACCATTCTCAAAGGGCAAAATTATTGAGAGGTATTTTGCCTTAAGAAAAGCAAATAAAAAATTCATTTTTCGGGAAAGCAAGGCTTCCTTTACGGATCCCGGCTCTATTGCGGTAGTTCCATCAGCAGTACCACGAATGGGTAAGTTTGCCTGTTGATAGGATTCAGGCATTCAGCGGCCCCGCCCAAACAACCTTTGGGGGTTGTCTTCCCTTGTCCAATTATTTGTAGGTGGGATGGGGCAACCAAACTTGCGTCTCATTCGGCAGGAGGGATGATTATTATGGATCAGGCGGGGGGAGGTTCTTCAGCTAAAGGGGTTCAATTTGTCGGGATTGATGATCCTTTGGTTGTTGAGGTGCTCTCTCTTCGGGATACAATTCTTTGGTGTTTAGCGTCTGGGTTTACGTATGTGCAATTTGAAGGTGACGTCAAAGTGGTTATTGATAAAATCAATCAGTCTGATACCAGGGATAGCCGGATTGGAGCCCTTCTTGAGGAAGTTGTGCACTGCTTCACAAATCAGAGTGGGTTCAATGTGCGATTTGTAGATCGACGTAGTAATAGGGTAGCTCATTTGGTGGCTAGGAAGGCCCTTCAATTATACTCGTCTACGTGTCGTGTTTTTTATTTTGTGATCTGGTTATATTTTAGGATGTAATTATCTTTTTCCTGATCAATATATATTATGTTTTGTAAAAAAAAAAAGCTTCCCTTACGGAACACCAATCAGACCAAGATTCTCAGCCCAACTTGACTCACCCAAAATCATTTTATTACCCCCATATGCTATTTTAGGGGTGGTATTCGGTCGTTAACCGGTTTACCGGTTACCGAATTTACCGATTTTCGGTATGGCGACAGTGGGTATGAGGCAATCGAATATCGATACCGGTTTGTAACCGGTTTACCGGTTACCGAATTACCGGTAAACGGTTACAAACCGGTTTATCGATTTATCGCAATTAGGAGGCGAGGACGGCAGGAGCTGAGGAGGCGAGGAGCCGAGGACGAGGAGGCGAGGAGATGGTGGTCTGGCGGCGGTGGGGAAGTCGGAAGGTGGCAGAGGTGGACTGGGAAGGGCTGGCGTCACGCGTCGGCGAGGGAAGGGAGAGTCAGGGACTCAGGGGAAGCGCGTGACGTCGCTCGTCGCCGTGCTGTGGGCGGCGTGGTCTTCCGTCAAATGGCTTGGTCGTCAGGTCGTGCTGCCAGCCAAAGGAGAGGCTAAACGAGAAGAGGAGAGGTGGCTCGTGGATGCGCGACTGCGAAATGAAAACGAAAAGAGGAAGAGGAGAGCCAGCATGGAAGCGCCGTACCCAGAAGCCCTTCTCGAAACAGGGGTAGGGAGATTGTGCGGTTGGTATTTGAATTTGACCTGTTTCATCGGCGGAGTGGTCACCTCCGAAAATCGAGAAAACGCCGTCGTCGCAGTAGCGGCAGTGGCGGTGGTGGAGGAGGTCGTCTTGGTACGGAGCTTGGATTCCCTGAGGTGGGTGTAGGCAGAGTAGCGAGGCCCCCTGCTCCATGAAGTAGGCCTCGGTGGTGAGCTTGGGAGGGATGGGCTCGAAGGAATCGGAGGAATTTTGGGAGAGGATGAGGGAGATCGGGTTGAGGATGTTGAAGACAGCGGTGGATTGGAAAGTTGAGTTCTGGTGTTGCAGAGCGCCGCTGCTGATGGATGCTGCCATGATTCTTCTTCTTCTTCTCTGATTTCGTTTCCTTTGCTCTGATGGGTTTTCGATATTAACGACTTACCGTCGCTATTTATCGATACCGGGTCCGGTAAACTGACATTTAAATGATCTCACTCGGCCGCCGATACCGGCGGTAAAAGGTATCGGTTCGGTAAAACGTAAACCATTTATTGGCCTACCATTTGTCACCCTATGCTATTTGAAGTCAAAACCATCCCAAAGATCCAAACCCTTTCTCCTTCTTATCATTTGCTCCCCTGCCTCACTTCTCCTCCACTCTCCCCTGCCTCTTATCTCCTCCACGTCTCGTCTCCTGCCGTCGAGGCCTCCCTTGCTCGCCATCGGCTCGGGCTTCAGTCCCTGTTGCCATCAACCCGACCTTTAGACCCCGCGCGCCGTCGACCCGGCCTCCCCCACTCGCCGCCTTGTCCTCGTCCAAGTTGTTATCCCTTGCCCCTCTTCTCGTTGTCGTTGCATCTGGTGAGCAATCTTCTAATTTCTTCTTCCTTTTGCCCACCCACATGGGATCCCTTCTTATTTTGAAAATCCCTAATCCATGCAAGTCATCTTCACCGCCGAATCATTTTTGGGGTGTTGGTGTTTAATTACTTATATAAAGCAGTCCAACTCAAACTCAAACTCGGGCAATTAAAATTCGAAGTGATGAAATAGCGGACAAGTTGTGGAATGACTTTCAAGCAGGAGTTATTTGATGTTCTCACTCACTTCTCATCTTGTTTTTTGTTTTCTGTTATGAAAATGAAAATTAACAAACAAATGACAAAAACCGTGTTCACTTGCAATTTTGTTTTCGTTGAAGAAATCCATTTGCTACAAATCAAGTAGCTGGGGGAAAACAATAAATTCTCGTTTCGTGGAAATAATGGGACGGATTATCCCCGTTTCCCAGTGGAAATTCGGACTTTTTCCAGAAATACCACTGTTTAAAAAAAGAATTTCAAAAATACCACCTAACTCCAAAAAATTCCAAAAATACCACCTTTTTCAAAAACCGCCACCCCACCCTGCGGTTTACACGAAAACCGCTTGTCAGGGGTGCGGTTTTCTATGCAAACCGCTGGCCTAGGGGGCGGTTATTAAAAAAAAAATTTTGGACCAAACAGCTGGGTTGGGGTGGCGGTTTGGCCCAAAACCGCCACCCCACCCAGCGGTTTGGTCCAAACTTTTTTTTTCGATCAACTCCTAACTTCGGCCGAAACTTCAAACGAACGTAACTTTGCAATCGGGTATCCGATCGTAGCGATTTGTTTTTTCATTTCGCATAACTTTTCAAGATCTACAACTTTTAATAGATAAAATTTTCAAAACAGGAACTATTTGTGGATATACGGGACCTTGAGAATAACTTTACCTTTACTTTTCACAAATTCATGTACATTTTGAAATTATGATTATATTAAAAGTTGTAGATTTTGAAATGTTATGCGGAATAAAAAAAAATTCATAACATTCGGATTTTGGAGCACAAAGTTATGGCCGCCCAAAGTTTGACGAAAGGCGAGACTCAGCGGTATGCGGCTTGCAAGATCTCAAAAAGTTTGCGGCCTCCATTTTCTGAATCCGAATAACTTTTTGAGATCTTGCAAGCCGCAAACCGCCGGGTCACACCTTCATCTCGAAAAAACGTCATTTGCCACCCCGAACGAGCCTTTTTTTTTTTATTTCGTCAAACTTTGGGCGGCCATAACTTTGGGCTCCAAAATCCGAATGTCGTGAATCTTTTTTTATTCCACATAATTTTTCAAGATCTACAACTTTTAGTATAATCATAATTTCAAAATATACATGGATTTGTGAAAAGTAAAGGTAAAGTTATTCCCAAGGTCCCGTATATCCACAAATAGTTCCTGTTTTGAAAATTTCATCCTAGTAAAAGTTGTAGATCTTGAAAAGTTATGCGAAATGATAAAAAAACGCTACGATCGGATACCCGAGTGCAAAGTTACGTTTGTTTGAAGTTTCGGCCGAAGTTAGGAGTTTATCGAAAAAAAAATTGGGGTTTGCATAGAAAATCGCGCCCCCGACAAACAGTTTTCGTGTAAACCACAGGGTGGGGTGGCGATTTTTGAAAAAAGGTGGTATTTTTGGAATTTTTCGGGGTTGTGTGATATTTTTGGATTTTTTTTTAAACGGTAGTACTTTTAGATTTTTTCCCGGAAATTTGGCACTGATCATAAATGAGGTCCATCGTTCGAAATCCCCCAGCCCCAACTTTTTGGGTTTTGCTCCGCTCCTTGCCATTGAAATCTTAGTTCCTAGACCACGAGTTTCAACTTTCATCATCTCCCTCTCTCTCATACCACGAGCGGCCGCCATTGTCTCCCTATCCCTCCAGCAGCCCCCACCTCTCATCTTCATTTCCTCTACCCCCAGACCACTAGCAGCCGGCGAAGACAAGCAGCAGCGACGAATCGTTCCGTCATCCAGCCTCTCTCTCTCTCTCCTCCAGCCGGCGTACATCAAGCAGTAGCGACGAAACGGTCCAGAAACGGTCCAGCCTCACTCTCCCCCTCCATCCGGCGAACATCAAGCAGCATTGACGAATCGTTCCACCTGTCGAAGGTCTAGCCGCCGAATCGAGTTCCACCCGACGAAGTTCCAGCCGGCGAGTGGAGCACTTAAATCCCTAATTACCCCAACCCATTTCGGCCCCATCTCTTCTTTCCGCTATCATCTCCATCATCGACCCAGCACCTGCCGCCGCATCTCCTTCATCCTCTGCGCTGGTCCAGCACTCGGGTTCGCCCTCCGCCGCCGCCCTCCCCTGCCTCCCGCCGCAGCAGCTTCCCTTCCTCGTTCTCGCTCCCCGGCGCAGCTGAACTCGCACGACGTGTCGCACATCCGCAGGAGATTGATGGGTGAGGAGGGAAAATAGACCCACCTCTGAATCGGATTCCGCACACCCAGCTTCTCTGCTCCCCAAACCCAGGTTCGACTGGTTCATCTCACTTTTCCTGTCTTAGCGTCCTTCTCCTGCTTCAATCACAAACTCAAGGTCAAAATGGCAGTAATGATACTCATCTGATCAGGACCTGCTCCTACTATTTCTTAGTGCTAGCTTTTGCTTGCCATTTCAGAGGTCTTATTAATTGCTGGCTTTGGTCAATTCTTTTTCTTAATGGCTTAGCAGTGTTGTGTTGTACATAAGTCATGATCAGAATTGGGGTTCGTGGCAAAGACTCGATGTGATGTGGTGGAACTGGAGAATTGATCGTGGAGTGAATTGCTATATTGGTTGCATTTACTGTTAAGATGTTCCCTTCAACAAACCATTTTTGGAGTTCTTTAGTAGGGTAGAGTACTTGTGAACAGATAGGCATAGGTACATGGCTACATAGCTTAGGTTGGAGGATATGGAATCAAAGTTACAGAATTATGGTGGCATTGTTGGTGGGATGTCAAGATTGTGCTATGTGTTGTTTCCTGAACCAGACCGAGAGGTGTGTTTGGAGGAAACCTTGCAGTTCTTTTGTATTGCTTTCTGGAGCATATTTCCGTGTTGTGGCACACATGGGATTGGATGGATTTAGGAGTAAATGGAAGGGTATTTTCAGTGTGAGAAGCTTTCAGCTTTCTTTGTTTTCTTCTACTTTTCATTAATGTCTGTTTGTAACGGTTGCATTCCTTTAAGGCATTGTTGGTGAGAAGTATTAGTACTTTTGACAGCATGCATGAGTTGATTTTATATGTATTATGGTTAGGGATATATCATTCCCTTCTGCTGAGATTTTATTATGATAAACCCTATCACAAGGCTATACATTGGTAATCGGGACAATGCTGAGTTTTTATTATGAGTGCTGTGCCTCATAGGCTATTCTGTGAATGAGCATGATTGCTGTCTCAAATATGCTCATGCTCTCATTGTAAGCATTGAAATCCATGTTCTTTAAAACTCTCATTCGATTTGATATAGGAGTACTCGGGATTACTTCGCAGCCCAATTCTGTTCTGATCTGTGTATATTTGATTTCCCAGGTTGGTGTGGGATTAATGTTCTTCCAGCAATTTGGGGGGACTAATGCTATTGCATACTATGCTAGTATGCTAGGTCCATTTTAGAGGCAGCTGGTAATCAACTTTAATCATCACCTTCATCAGGTCATTAACCGATCCAGTTTTCCCTAATGAAAATTGACACTATTTATGGATTATTGGTGCAGAGTTTTCAAGCTAATTAGTATTTGATAATTGTGCAAGTAATCCTGACACCTACTCATCTGGCAATTAGTGGTGTTAAATTAGTATTTGATTTGGATTTATTGTAACGTAATTTAGACTTTTTAGATGTAATTTGCATTTTTTATTTGATTTGGATTTATCGTAAGGTGATTTAGACATTTTAGATGTAATTTTAATTTTCTGGAATTAATTTTGAGTTTTTCGAATTAATAAGGATTTTTGGTATAGGAATTTGGACTAACTTAAATTTTCTGGAATTAGTTGGAATTTTTGTAATCAAACTTTGATTTTTTGAATTAGTTTAAATAATTTTTTTTATTTAATTTAGATTATTTTTGTTATGAACTCATTTAAATTTTCTAGTATATAACTGCAATTTTTTGAAATTTAATTTGATATTAAATAATTAAGTGGGCTAATATTGTATAAAAAGAAGTTGGGCCGACCCTATGGCCCGACCCGGCCCAGCCTGACCCAACAGGGCCATACAGGGCCAAATGAGAATAGGGTCGGGCCAAATATTTGAGCATATAGGGCTGGGTTTTTTTGGGTAGTGGCCGGGTCAGTGCTGGGTTTGGCCCAATCTCACCCCTACTTTACAGGGTGAACTGTTTGTGAGCAACTGTTACCCAGCCCTTGTTTTAATCAAAATCGTGTTTTGTGTGTGTGTTGATTTTGACTGTGTTTTCGATGGGTAATTGAGAATTGAGATTCTGCATTTGTTGCATCTGTTAGAAATCAGCCGCCTCTCACCATGGAATTTACAGCAACCCATATGACTATTTGTTTGTTATTTGATCTTACTTCTCTTTCTCATCTCTTTCCATGAACTCCCTTTTTTCTTGTAATTTCTATTGTTCTCCTTGATTTATTTCAACGAGTTGTAAATGTGTGGGATGGAAAGTGGCAGATGAATTTTGTTTATTGTATTATGATTAGGGTTGTATGATACTCAATGAAAAAAATCGTAGTAATTAATTATCAGAAAACAGTATGAAACAATTAAACAAGTTTTCATTTTTAGAATTCAGTTTCATAACTCATCAAAATTCTCAGCTAAACAAGGTTTATTAGGTTTTGTTTTCTAGGAATTGACAACTTCGTTTTCATTTTAATTTTGTTTTCTATTGTGGCATTTAACAGAAATGGAATGGCAAGTAAACAGTCCATTAAGTTGTATTTGTTATTGTAGTTGTACTTCTTAAAATATTTGGTTGATGTAGTAGTATTTTGTTTTATTGTTTAAAACAAGAATGCTATTGAAAATAGACATCAGTTTGTAATAACGGTATCTAAACAAGTTTTCATTTCCAGGTTTCAGTTTCAGAACTCTCTAAATTCTCAGCTAAACAAGTTTTCTTCAGATTTTGTTTTCCAAAAAATCAGTGATTCTTTTTCTGTTGTCCAGAAATAAAAAAATAGCGACCGCCAACCCTTCTGCACTGTCCTGACAACTCATAGCAGTCATCTAGACGAAACCCACCAGGTAACCCTAGAACTATCTCTCCTTCCTTTCAGACCACGCTCCCTTCTGGGGATTCTTGAAATTGTAAAAATGGGTGATCCTTTTCTGATTAATATGATTGAAGGCGTTGATGGACTCCCAGTTTCTGTGCTTTAACCAGACCAGCTTGCTCACTAAGCCTCTCCTTCCACCGCAATCTCGTTTATTTGCCGCCGCTCCAAACTTCTATCGCCGTCCATCTTCACTTCAATCCAAAGGTATTATGCTGCCGACTTGTTAGCAAGTAGAGGTTTTTGGCATTGTTGCGATTCTTTCCTTTCGTGTGTTTACTGAGTTCTGGACGTCACAGGATTTGCTTTGAGCAGCATAAGGTGTGCAATGAAGTCTTATCGGTTATCTGAGCTAAATCGTGCAGAGGTCGATGGCCTGAAAGCTCGCCCTCGAATCGATTTCTCTTCCATTTTCAGTGTGGTGAGCTCTCTCTCGTGAACGGAGCTAATTATATTAGCAGCATCCGAGTTTCCAGTTGTTTGTGTTCGATTGGGGGGCATTTCCATATTGTTGATGTCTTGACTGCATCATTGTTCGTGCCAGGTGAACCCTATTGTTGATGACGTTCGCACAAGAGGGGATGCTGCAGTTAAAGAGTCGGTTATGCTTTTATGGTTTTTTTCTTATGATCCTGCATTTCAGGAAGCTGGAATTCTTCAACTTGATGCTTTTGTTGTGCAGGTACACTGCAAAATTCGATAAAGTGAACCTGGATAATGTTGTTGTGGATGTTTCTGGGCTTCCCAATCCAGAGGTATTCTTGCTTTAGAAGCACAAATTTTCATGTTAATCTGTCTCCCTGTGATAGGTTCTTGTGTAATATGCCAGTCAGATTGTTATGTTGCTTAGTTTACTTTTGCATTTTTTTCTGTATTGCAGCTAGATGCAGATGTTAGGGAAGCATTTGATGTGGCATATGACAACATATATGCATTTCATTTTGCTCAAAAATCTGATGAAAAAAGTGTCGAGAATATGAAGGTAAGTGATACTCGTACTTCTTGCAAGCCTGCTTCAACATACCTTATCCGTTTTCCTTCTATAATTTTTGGAAGTATTATAGGGTGTTAGGTGCAAACGCGTGGCAAGAAGTATTGGCTCTGTTGGTCTCTATGTTCCTGGAGGTACTGCAGTCCTACCTTCCACAGCTTTGATGCTTGCAGTTGTAAGTTGGTTGGAACTCTCATGTTAGCCATCCGTGTTCTGCTTGCGTTTATCATGGGTAGTTTAGTCTAACAATTACTTTGGCATTTTATTTCCCTGCACAGCCTGCCCAGATTGCTGGGTGCAAAACTGTTGTTCTTGCAACTCCGCCGAGTCAGGATGGCAGCATATGCAAGGTACGTATTGATATCTAAATTCTTTTATGAAAGTGACTTCTTGCTGATGAATGATTTATGTTTCAATAGGAGGTATTGTATTGTGCCAAGAAGGCTGGCGTTACCCACATTCTTAAAGCTGGAGGGGCTCAGGTTTGATATTGTTTATTGTTATATGAGGTTATATGCAGTTATCACATTTTCATCGTCTTATTTTCTCAATCTTCCCTTTCCAAGTTCAGGCTATATCTGCTATGGCATGGGGAACAGAGTCCTGTCCTAAGGTATTGGTTTTCTCTCAATGTAGGCCTTTGGAACCTAAGAGAGATAATATTTGTTTTGGTGTGTTGATGCTTTACTTGTATCCGACAATTTGTTTCCGTTGTTGCTATTGTAGCCTCTTTTTGTATTCTTCTTGCGTCTGAAATCTGTTTTCTGAGATTCAGTCATCACTCGCAGGTTGAGAAAGTTTTTGGTCCAGGAAATCAGTATGTTACAGCTGCAAAGATGATTCTCCAGGTGTGCTTGTATTCCTCCCTCTTTCATGTTTTCCTATTTCCTTTTAGCTTTGTCTGAAAATCCATGCGCTATTGAAGTTGTTTCAACTAAAAAAATTCACGGTGTTTACATCAGAACAGTGAAGCAATGATATCTATTGACATGCCAGCTGGACCTTCAGAAGTTCTGGTCATTGCTGACAGATATGCCAGCCCAGTACATGTAGCTGCAGATCTGTTGTCTCAGGTGCATTGTGTTCCATTCATATTTTTCCACTGATTATGATAAATAAACTAGGAATAATGGAAGCGGTAAATTTATCTGCAGGACCATGGTTTTCCATCTGTCAATGTGATTTATTTTGTAGCTCGGACACACCTGATGGTTTGTTTTCTGTGCTGTGCTGTGCAGGCTGAGCATGGCCCTGATAGTCAGGTTGTTCTTGTGGTTGTCGGGGATGGCATCGACATGGAAGCTATTGAACAAGAAATCAGTAAGCAGTGCCAAGCCCTTCCTAGGGGAGAGTATGCCTCGAAAGCTTTGAGCCACAGTTTCAGCGTCTATGCTCGTGATATGATAGAGGTAGGTCCTTTATCCTTCTTGGTTGCAGACAATCAAGGGTGTCCAACTCTCTCCTCTTATTGCATCAAACACTCGGGTTAATTTTTGCGTATCTAACCTGTCATCAATTTCCATGTTCAAATTGGTGGGTTTTCTGGGCAGGCCATCTCCTTTTCCAACTTGTATGCACCCGAGCATCTGATAATCAATGTGGAAAATGCCGAGAAATGGGAGGGTCTTGTTGAGAATGCAGGTAAGGACTTGCCTCTCCCTCCCTCATCTTATTGGCTTACAAGGGCCAATTAGTTCTTTCACCTAGGGGAATTTGTTGCCCCCTCTTGGTAATAAACTCTTTTTGGTTTCACCGCAGGTTCTGTGTTCTTGGGTCAGTGGACGCCGGAGAGTGTCGGGGATTATGCCAGCGGAACGAACCACGTGCTTCCTACTTACGGGTATGCTCGGATGTACGGCGGAGTATCCTTGGACTCCTTCTTGAAGTATATGACAGTTCAATCTCTAACCGAAGAAGGCCTGAGAAACCTTGGTCCATTTGTGGCTACCATGGCTGAAGTTGAAGGGCTCGATGCCCACAAGAGGGCCGTCACTCTTAGACTCCAGGATATAGAGGCCAGGCGGCAGCAACAGCGAGTCACAACAACATAGAATATGGTAGACTGCGCTTCTCATTTTCCTTCTTTTCTCAGGTGGCCGTTGTCAGGATCCCGAGTGTTGCCCCTTTTGTTTCATTCTCATACTTTGTTCATAAACATGTATTCCTTTCTCGCACTCTTCTGGTGCAACGGTAAACTTTTTTGGTAGAGGCTCGTATCACATAGTAATCCTACCAAAAGGAGAACATTTGAACTAAACACACTCTGATACTTCTATGCATCTTTTATTTATTGAACAACAAGTTTCTCAGAAAAAATTCCAAGTTACACATGTTTTAAAAAAAATTCTCAAAATACACGTTATGAAAATAATTCCCAATCTATACATGTTTGGGCCTTCACCGTGGCAGAGGAGGGCGGTGATTGCATCACCGCATGAGAGAAGCACGGTGATTGCAATCACCGCTCTAGAGAAAGGCGGTGAAGGCCTGACCTGCGTCAAAACTTTAAACAAACGTAACTTTGTGCTCGGTTATCTGATCGTAGCGAAATTTTTTTTTATTCCGCATAATTTTTCGTGATCTTGCAAGCCACAAACCGCCGCCCGCCTTCGTCTCGAAAAAATGTTGTTTGCTACTCCGAACGAGCCTTTTTTGGATTTCGTCAAACTTTGAACGACCATAACTTTGTGCTCCACAATCCGAAACTCATGAATTTTTTTTGATTTCGCATAACTTTTTAAGATCTAAATTTTTTATCATAGACATAATTTCGGAATGTACTTGGATTCCTGAAAAGGGAAGGTAAAGTTATTCCCAAAACCCCGTATATCCAACATAGAATATGGTAGACTGCCCCTTTAGGTAAAGAACTGCCATCAGTATTATGCTCATCTTCATCATAGTCAGCTTGAGAAATAAGCTCCTGTTGATCACTATATTGAGGATTGCTGGATATTGAAGAAGAAGAACTCAGAACAGAAGGAGAAATCTAGCAACTCAGGATCTAATTCGAGATCAAGTTCTAATTCAAATACTCCAAGGTTTGCTGGTTCAGTGATTCAAAATTCTGCTACATAAACTCAGTCAGAGGGAAGTCTGAGTGTTGAGAACAACGTGGCACCCAATCCTCTTGGATTCACAGCAGAAGAAATGAATCGTTTGAGATACATGTTGCAAGTTGGTGCTAATCCTTTCCCATCTCCACCAACTTCTCCTACCATCAACCATCAGGCCTACTTTGTCTCACAGTATTTGCCTTCATACCCAAACCACTCAGGTAAATTCACCTTGTATATCTTCAAACCTTGCCCTTCTCATATTCATAACTTATGAATTTTAGGCACAGGTGCATCTGACCATATAACCTGTAGTTTAACCCTTTTCAAAGACCACAAAGCTATCCCAAATTCCTTTGTCAACCTTCCTAACAACACACAAGTTATAGTTACACACATAAGAACAATCACTTTATCTTCAGGATTGATTCTCTATGATGTCTTGTGTGTGCCTAGCTTTACCTTCAACTTAGTTTCAGTAAGCAAGCTTACACATGATATGCCAGTCTCCTTACAATTTCAATCTGACCATTGTTCTATCCAGGACCTTCTAAGTCAGAAGAAGATTGGTTTAGCAAAAGAAACTAAAGGCCTCTACCACCTCTCCTTTCCATCCACTCAACAACCATCACCCAGATCACCTATCCAGCCTCAAGTAGCTACACTTTTCAACGTCAACCCTCACAACTATAGCTGTGGCATTGGAGACTAGGGCATCCCAGTCATGAGAGACTTAATTTACATAGTCATAGTTCTCCAAATGTAACTAGTTCTAAGACAAAACATTGTGATGTTGGTCATTTATCCAAACACAAATGCCTGTCTTTTCCCATTAGCACCAATGTTGCACCAAACAGATTTCATTTACTTCATGTGGATATTTGGGGTCCATTGTCTGTTACTTCTTATGATGGATTCAATTATTTCTTAACTGTTGTGGATGATTTCTCGCTTGCTGTCTGGGTTTATCTCATGAAACATAAGAGTGAGGTTAGAAGTTTACTGGAAGGCTTCTGTAATTTGGTTAAGAACCAGTTCAGTACAACAGTTAAGGTCATCAGAAGTGACCAAGGGAAGGAGTTTGCTATGTGTGATTATTTCTTACAAGAAGGTATTGAACATCAGATGAGTTGTGTTGAGACTCCAGAGCAGAATGCTCGTGTAGAAAGGAAACACCGGCACATCTTGAATGTGGCTAGGTCCTTAAGGTTTCAGTCAGGGATTCCACTTTCTTTTTGGAGTGACTGCATCCTGCATTCAGTTCATCTCATTAATAGAATCCCCACACCTATTATAGCCAATCGATCTCCTTATGAATTTATGTATGATCAACAACCTTCCCTATCTCATCTTTAAGTATTTGGTTGCTTGTGCTATGCCAACACTTTGTCTCATGGGAGGACTAAGTTTGCACCTCGAGCTCGACAATGCATCTTTCTTGGCATCCCTTCTGGCATAAAAGGCTATAAAGTCTTAGACCTCCACACTAAACAGGTCTTCTTTTCCAGAGATGTTGTCTTTTATGAGAACATCCTTCCATACAAATTTCCTGAACCATCACTTCCTACACCTGAGCCTCCTGAACCTACATATACACCACCACCAAACAGTTCTGCTCCACCTATTTCTATACCATCTACACTTCCTCCTTATCCTTCTTCTTAACATACCAGTCCTACAATAGATAAAACTCCTTCTCCTACTCTCACACAGCCTCAAACTATTTCATCCTTCGATGAAGGGGGGACTTCTGAGCCTGTGTTGTCTCATGTTTTGGATCACTATGAATACTTTGATAGTGATCAACATGAGCTTATTTCTCAAGCTGACTATGATGAAGATGAGCATAATACTGATGGCAGTTCTTTACCTAAAAGGAAAATCCACTTGCCATCCAAATTTCAGGACTACCAACTTGACCCTTCTCTCAAATTTGGGGCTTTTGGTAAGGCCAGTGCCTGTAGCAGATATCCACTTTGCTTAAGTGTTGATAAACTGACTCAGTTGATAGACATTATGTTCTTAGTGTGATCAATATGCAAGAACCTAGATCATATTATGAGGCTATACATGATGATATGTGGAATCAAGCAGTCAAGTCAGAGATTTATGCATTGGAGGAGAATCAAACCTGGGACATTGTAGAGCTGCCAAAAGGGAAGAAAGCAATAGGAAACAAATAGGTCTTTAAGATCAAACTTAAACCAGATGGTTTACTAGAGAGGTGTAAGTCAAGACTTGTGGCTAAAGGTTTCAATCAAGTCTATGGCATTGACTTTTTGGACACCTTATCACCAGTTGCTAAAATTAACACTGTCAAAGCACTGTTAGTAGTTGCTAGTGTGAAGAAATGGGTTCTAGAGCAGTTAGATGTATCTAATGCTTTCTTACATGGTGAATTACATGATGAGGTGTATATGAGAATTCCATTGGGAGTTGAGGTTTCTAATCTTGAAGGAAAGAATCTAGTTTGCAGACTGAAAAAGTCTTTATATGGGATTAAGCAAGCTTCCAGGCAATGGTTTGCCAGACTTGCATGGGTGAATGGAAGAGTGGTCATCTTACTGGTTTATGTAGATGACATTATCCTAGGAGGAGGTGCACAGAAGGATATTTAGCGGCTGAAGTTGGCTTTGAGCAAAGAGTTCAAAATCAAACTGCTGGGACCCTTGAAATACTTTCTGGGTTTGGAGGTTGTACGAAATGATCATGGTCTTGATGTTTGTCAAAGGAAGTACTGTGTAGAAATTTTGAAAGACACAGGTTATCTGGATTCCAAGGGGTGTAAATCTCCTATGGATATAAAAGTGAAGTTGTCTGCTCAAGGAACACCTTTGGAGGATAGAGAAGCATATAGAAGATTTGTTGGCAGGTTGCATTACTTGACCATAATTAGGCCAGACATAGCATTTGTTGTGCAGCAGCTCTGCCGGTACCAGAAAAATCCCGGCCAAGAACACATGCAAGCTGCTTATGTAACACCCAATTGCTTTTCTCCATTTAAAACCCATAAAAATGTATGCATAATAGACCGATAATTGCACATGTTTTTACCCCTATTCTTGAGCCGTTTGAGATGTTGATTCTCGTGTTTTAAGCCGATTTCACGCGAGGTTGTATGTTTAAGTCATATTTCAGGACCCGGCGTTGGAATCGAGGCGAAGGAACGAGATTCGGGTCGAAAGGAGCAAGTGAGGCTTGAAGTTTGCTGGAGAGCAAAAATACCCGGCCATGAGCAGAAATACCCGACCGGGTATTATCTGGCCATGACCGGGGATTTTTGGCTTTGGGCGTCCGTGAGAAACAGAAGGGGTCCCGGGCAGGAGGCGAAAATCCCCGGTCGGGGATTACTGGCCATGACCGGGGATTTCCCCTGAGGCAAAAATGGTGCGTTTCAATTATACCTGGTCGCGACCCAAAATACCCGACCGGGTATTTCGACCTGGGATCGCGAACGCAGGCTGTTAAAAGCCTGTTTTGTGCATTTTTTCAAGAGAGAGCTGGATTTTGGATCCCAAACACCCAAGGGACGAACCAAAGAAAGAGAGGGTGATTTGAGGGCATTCCTGGAGTGGAATTGGAGGATTTCTTCGCCTTGGAAGCTCGAGGAACAAGCCCGGACTTGAAGACTGATCATCTGAAGATTCTTACTGCAGTCTCTCTCTTCTCTATGGAGTAACTTCCCTTCACTTAGGTTTTGAGGAACCCTAGCTATGTTTGTTTGATTGGATGATTGTATGAGTATTGTGACTTGATAATCTTGAGTTCATATTCAATCTATGCATGTTTTCATGATTCAATTCTGCTTTAGTCGAGATTATTGATTCTGCTTTGATCCTATGAGAGCGAATACCTGATTAGGTCAATAGAGCACCATAGATTGATAGTAGTGGATCGATTGCTTTAGTCGAGGGTTGGTTCACTACTTTGTATCGATTGAGAACCTCTTTCGATAGAGGGACTCTAGTTCAGAAAACCTTGATCGGTTGTTCTAGAGAAGGATACGTCCCTCTAGGCAGTTGACTCAAGAGGGCCTTGTTCCTTTAGTCGAGACTCAAGGTCTAGTCAAGGATTCTCCGCATTGTGAATGAAAGTGAAACAAGTTAGAAATCATCAATCGTTAATCTGGCTAGTGGCTAGGGGGAATCATACCTAAGTGAGTTCCCAACCTGTAATTAGATTAACTTTAACTGTAGTTTGTTAGAGTAGTTTTAGTTTTTTCATCTTAATCTGGTTTGCTAAATAATAAACTGAAGCTGAGTAATAGTAACTCTAGAGACCCGTTGATTCGATATTTATCACTTGAGCCACTATA